ATGGTCTACGCCATAGATATTTATGGTCATCACTAAAACTGTAAATTTAAAGGGAAATTACTTACTAACTGAAACAAGGTACTAAACTGTTTGAAAAATTGATTACACATTTAGTGATAACAAAACTTCGTTTCAAAATTAATGTTAGTTTTACGGTATTTTATTAATTGTGGATTATAAATTTAAAAGAGACAATTGTTTGTATATAAAAATAATTTATTAAAACAGTTTCATTTTTACGATTTAACAACTTAAGCATCGAGGGAAATTTTTTTTTAATCAATAATTAAATGAGACGGAATTTTCCACTCATTTTTATTATTTATTCATGATCAGGATCAGTCTATTGTTCTTCATATGATTACTAAGTAATTACTAGTTATCTGTTGTGTCGTAAACTGCGATTATACACTCAGGGGGATAATCATCATTAACCGCCAATCTGTGAGTCTTTTCATGGGTCGCGACGCATCATTGACAACCATATTATGATAACAGCATATACTAAATAGGAATAAGTAACTTGAAAGTGTATTGCATACAATATACTTGTTCATTGTCGTCAGAATTTTTTGTAAAGGCCAGATGGCATTTCCCTGTCGCTGTGTATTAACATCTCTATGAAACCATAAATTAGTTATGCAATCTCTCGTTTTTTCTGTTAGGGCGTGTCTTGTGTGTTTTTTAAAAAGTACTTAAACGCGCTATCTACCCTCTGATATCCTTGTTACTGTGTCCATGATCCCCTCATTTTTTCGGTATTAGTGCACATGTGACTGTACAGTAAGTGTGCGTGCAAAAAACATTACAGATAACATCTAATTGTAATGACTTTTTTTTTATGTTATATCTTTATATGGGCTGTGTGTGGGTGCACAAATCATAGAACCATTAGACATTTTAACTTTTTGCCATGGTAAATAATCGTATGCGATTGCCCTTGACAAATTGGTTTCTACCCCATTACAATAATAAATAAACTAAAAGGCAAAGTATGCAATATTAGGCATTTCTAGCAATTAAACTTAATTTTAGTTTTTAATATTTATTCGATGACTTTTAAGTTATATTATTGTTTTTTCTTTTTTTATATAATACAAATAAAATTACAACAATAGTATTCAAATTTTACCCCTATGAATAGCTAAAAAATAAAAATAACTATTACATATAAAACATTACTAACGTTAAACATGTTATTATATCGTAATCAATGATTTTAAAAGATTGTTGTATAAATAGATAATATTTTTTTCGATGTAATTTCTTAAAAAAAAAAAAATAATAATAATACTATTCTTGATATATTTTATGAATATTAAACATTATCACTGTTAACAATTTTGATAAAAGTTTGTAATTTTATAACAGGAATGCTACTTAAATGATAACATACGAATTGGTAATTCAATCAAAACGATTACCTTGACCATATGGTAAATTTATAAAACACATAAATTGTTTTTTAGCCATGATGCGTAACTCTTTGTACAAAGAATACGATATTGCTCAACAATACTTTAAAAGATCATAAATCGTATTTAGTTAAAACTTTAGGTATCATAGTATTAAAAAATTCCTTTCAATAAATTAAAAACAAAATTACATTTATTATAAAACAATCGGTACTAATATTTTTAGTTTTCACATAATAAAACTTTAAAAACTGAACGGATGATTACGAAATTTCTATTTTAAATATTTTAAACTTTAAATTTGCCATTAAAATGATATACTTTTTTTAAAATTTAACCAAGGTTCCAACTTAGTTCCCATTTGGATCCGAATAGCCTCTCTTGACAAATTACAAAAGAGAACTTAAAGATTTGAATCCACGGGATTTCGAAATCCAGTATTTTTGAAAATTTTAGTATACGCTCAAGAGATCATAGCCCTTCTTAGGACTTATAATATAACATATCTTAGACATTTTTTACTAATTTTTTTTTAGCTTACATCCTTTTGAAAGAAAAATGGGCCCCTTCAGACAAAAAATCACACTCATTACAATATTACAATAATTGCACTATGTGTATACAAAATTTCGTGTAAGTAATTTTGAATTAAGTTTAATCCAACAAGTTCAATGTTGAAATAAATTTTATGAGAATGTGGACACAAAACTTTCCCAAAAAATATATATATTCATATTCTACCAACGTTGATCGTTGACGTTTTCGTGTACATGGCAATAAACTATAACAACTATAGAAAATCCTTTTGTCAAATAATAGATATGCTAGTTACGTAATGTTCTTTTAGTGGACAGCAGGCGAAAATTTGTATAAATAAAACTACAGGAATAGACTTCGTATCCCTTTTGCAAATCCAATAATAATAGGAGGTTATTATTTACATTGGTCGTGACGCGCGGCTGATAATAGCGTTACGATATTATTGGCGTTTAGCGACACTATGCGGGGGAAACTGGAGAGGTGTGTTGATAAAAGATATTATCATAATCAGGGGCCACGATATCATTGTACAAAATAAGTTGGGCCACACACACACGTTGAACTTATTATTAACGTCATCGCACACCGCAGATGACTGAATAGGAATAATACCACATTATGATTAACGCTTGTGGTTTACCGTCGCCATGCGTGCACGCTAGTCCCTTGGGAATGTTCGCCTTCTCCCTATTCCGGCTCTTTAAACGACACCCACAACCAGAATCCGATAAAAATTCATGAGACGTGCCACGAATCCCTCTATAGACTATGACGTGCTTAATTCCATTCAGCGTTTTAGTTAAAAAGCTACAGTTTATAACAACTTCATTGCTGCACAGTAACATTTTGGAAACATTCGTGTATTAAAATAGTCAGTTCAATTTTTAAAAAATTAAGATAACGTTATATCTAGTTAAATTTTGCTATTTAATCATAGGACTACATCAATAAATTTTAATAGCAAAATTCATTGATATAAAATTTAAGGAAAAACTATTAGTGAGAAACGTGTGTTTTCTCGTTAATTAAATAAATGAAGTCTACCACAATTGTGTTCAACTATCACAAATAAATGCACACGAGTTAATTTTCTTAATAGACCAATCTTGACGCAATATTCAAAGAAATATTTATAAATTATAATTATTAAATCCTTTTCGATACACCATCAGTGGTGTATCACTGATAAATGGTGTACAAAGTACACCATTTATCTTGGCAAAAAATTAAGCGTCAAATAACAAGGATTGTGCTATATAGAAAAAGTGTGCGCAGTAAAAATGGGTGAAATATGGTTTACTAAACGGACAGGTAATGTATGTATTTTTATTTAGTTTTATGATATTTTTTTTGTCCGACTCTGTAATTAGAAGCATTAAAATGATTTAGAACGCCCATATCGCCCGCAGGATCACCACCTCTACAATAGTATTAGATGTATTTTGATGCAACCGCAGACAGTTAAATGATAGCGCTTTAAAACATAAAAAAGTTCTACCTAAAACAGCGTTGTTATTATTATTGTAGGCATGTAAAAATATCGTGGAATTTGTTTTAAAATGCCGATTGGACCGATTGTCCTTTCATCATAAAAAAAAACGATTTAACTAAACGACTTAAGAGTCAGTAACTCATTAACACACGCATCATAAATCCTCGTGACGAAAATAATTAAAAGATGAAGATATATATTTATTTTTTGGTAAGGTGTTTTGTATAATTCATGATCGTACTGTGACATTTGAGATTTTGAAAACCAAATACTTTGTAACACTTGTACATAACTTTTATTCTTAAACGCTTCGATATAAATGTGTGTGATTTTATTTTAATATATCAATGTACATTACAGACGATAGTAAAAAAAAATACCTTAAAGAAAAAATCCTTAATACACTTCAGTGTTGTGTTGATTAATTTCATATTTGCACAACAGGTTTTTTTGTTAAAAATAATGAAATAATATGTTAGGTTTGTCATTGATAACATTAACTTAAAAATGTAAACACTTAAAAATATATCACTTTAACTTTAAAAATTGTAGTGTAGAATATAATCAATATCATAGAATATTTTATAGTAACGACGGCACAAAGGTTCGTTGACATAATCCTCAGTTATAATAAAATTAAGTTTCTTATATATAATAATACTCATATGAACATACTAATTTATTTATTTTAAACATTTAATGTCTGTCAAACACTTTTTAATAATAAAAAATTATGCTACCAAAGGTAATAAATACACTGCCAGACTTTGCTAATTCAGTTAAATAAATGTTCACAGAGCAGATAAACAAGGACTGTATTACAGTTATTAACGGACAAATGGGTGTTACGTTTCCCTATGAAAATTGACATTGGTTAGCCAAGATTCAATTTTTTTATTCCATATAAAGAGAATAATGGAAATTTTTTTGTGTATACCGCATGTCATAATCTATATTTAGCAACTGGAATGTAGTATACTAAATTACATGAAAACTGGTTGGGTTGGTTTGAATTACTATAAAAATTGGTAATTTAATGCCTCTAATTAAAGTACTAATTTTTCAAAAAATATAAAACTTAATATTGAACCATTCATTACCAAACTTCTTTATTCTATTATTAAAATGCGTAGAGCAAATTATGTTTATTTAATTTTTTACGTATATCTGTCATGTAAATATTGGAAAGGGGAGAGATAAGCCCCCTTCATATTATTATTAAGCATCAAACAATATTAATGTACTCGTAAATATATTCTATTGTAATAAATAAAATTGTGTAGAATATAGGTAATAACAATAAATTTAACTAATTTTTTTTTTCTTACAACTATAAATATTATTTTATGATATGCTTATTTTTTATATTCACATTAAATACAGGGTGTTCAGTAAATAAGGAAACAAGTAAAATGTTACAAATAATGAGAACAATAGAAACCAATTTCCTTACTTACAGAACACTATGTATAAACTCAAGTAGCAGACTAATAGAAAAATCAGGTAGAGTCAGTGGCACTGACCATGTATTGGTTCTCAGATAAAAATTATAATTTAATATATAAATTCTACTTAATTTTATTTTCAACATTTTTGTCTAAAATATATATAAATTGTAGTTATTAAATTACATGTGATAAAATGATCACACATTTCATACATTAGGAACAATAATTAATATCAATACATCCAAACTATTTTTAAATAAAATACATTATTAAAATTGATATTGGTGAATGCTTTAAATATTTGTTCAACTTCTTTTATCAGTGGTCAATCACTAACTTGTCAGACTTATACAAATCTCCCACTACTACCTATAAATAATAAAAAAAATTGTTAAACAAAATGTTGTGTTGATTCAATTATAGATTAAAATAATTCAAATTTATGATACTTTTATACAAACCTAAATTATTAAAAAAACATATTTTGAACAAAATATGTAAAAAGTCAACAGTTTAATAGTTTTTATCAGAAATTTATAAGAAGATTCTATACATTTATTTTTACATTGTTAGAATATATCAATATTTTTGTAAACAAGTTAATGATATTAGACTCTAATCACATTTTTCCTTAATGATCATTATGTAATTAAACAAATTAAAGAACAAAAAGATTTTAATAATTATTTCATCAATAAGTTATTCTAGAATAATAAACAAAATAATTTAACGTGTTTCAAATATTTTGAATTAATTATTTAACACACAATACTAGTTAAAAGAAAATGAATAAATAATATAATAAGTTATTTTAAATTAATAAAATGCCTTAGTACTGTTAATTTAGCAAACTTACGAAATTATAATTGAAACAAAAAAATGAGAATTTACATAACTATAAATGTTTAATGATGTTTAGCGTTGATAATGGTAATATTGTTCCCAAAATACATATCCGCAATTTTTTAGTAATTTTTTTTGTCTTTTTAAGTTAAATATTTTTTAGTTTTAAATTAATACTTTTCATATAGTTTTAATTTTAAATAATATTAGCCACAAGTAATTAATTTTTGTTTTATGTTTAATGATGAATTATAAATTAAACATATTTTTGGATAAAATTAATAATAAAGTATTTTGCACATTGAAAGTAGCATGTTTTAATCTAAACATCTATTAAAAAAAATTATGAGTGCTACCGTTAAAAATATTGTCAACTACTATTCAATTAAATATGTTTAATTATTTTATTGTATGCTTCACTTCTGTTTGATAAACTAATATATAACTTATATTTATGTATAAAATACTAAGTTATTAATATTAAGTTACAATTTAGTTAGTTTTCCTTAACTACATTATACTAAAAATATTAATTCAATACAACAAAATGTCTAATTATTTTATTTAAGCAACTTTGAAGTATTCCAAGTTAGTGCAACTTTGTCGTAGAATTATAAAGAAAGAAATATTTTTTGTTTTAGGAAGATTAACTCTCTAATCGCTACTAAAACTACAACATCAAAAAAAATTCATTACTGAGTTTCAAGTTAATTAATAACAACTTGTACTGACTGATAATGTGTTTGCAAACAACTTTACAAAACTTATAAATGCATATAATTCATAACCCTGACAAATTATGAAAAATATAAATTTAAATATAGTCTACCTGTCGTTTAATGATATCCAAGTACTTGGAAGCTTCTTCCATGTTACGTTGAATTTCAGCTGGATCCTTGAGTGATTTATTTTCTCTAAACATATCTTTAATTCTTCGCAAGGCGTACATTCTAATAAACAAATAAATATAAAATTCGTTGATTTAAAAATTTTAATTATCTACCTATAATTATAGAATGAAAATTTTGAACTCTCGCGCAGCATAGTCTTGTACATTTTTAAAACTGCAGTTTTCGATGAAGTTGTCATAATGATCTACTAACAATAATTGCCTTCAGTTTAAGGAGTGAAAAAATTTAAAAAGATTTCATATATCAAAAAATTATTTTATACTGAACTACTTTGACATAAGAAGCTTAACTGAAAAATATTACCGGCTTATACATTGAACAAGTAACGTGATAGGAAGAAAACAATTTAATACACTATTAATGAGTTATCATTAGGTACTTCAAAAATTCCCATCAAGAAAAACATCTACCACCATTTTACTGCATTACTTCATTATCATAACCATTAAGTAGAGACAATAATTGATAACAATATTTATATTTTTGTGTTTAAAATTCGCGTGGAGTGTTTTTTTCCTTTTAATTTGCGAATGAATCAGTTTGACGTTGATAGTTAGTAGAAGTTGTTGGAATTTTTTCAATACTTTACAGAATATAAATATAATGGTTGCCAATGACGAAACATATGATGAGAATAGTTCTCCGGAGTTAAACTATAAAGAACAATATAAAGAAATGAAACGAAAATTAAGGCTTTTGATTTATGTAAGTTTTGATAATACCAATTAGCTCTTGATATAAACGTAGTACGTATTAGTGTAAATGTGTTTAAAATTTAGGAAAATGAGATTTTCCAACAGACCCTCAACACAACTCAGAGAAAACTTTTAAAGGCATCACGAGACAAAAGCGTTTTATTAGATAGACTTTTACAGTATGAACGTGTTGAAATGAGTAGTAGTGATGATGAATTGACTGAATCATCTGATGAAGGCGAATGTATCAAACCTGAACCAAAAAAGTAATCAGATTTATATCATTTAATATTTACATTATTTTAATGTGTATTACATTTAATTTTTTGTATTACTCTTCTTCTTTTTCCATGATAAAACATGACCAAACCATCTAAGTCTATTTTCTCTCATCTTATCCACGATTAATGCTACACCTATACTATCTCTTACATATTCATTCCTTATCCTATCTTCTCTTGTCATTCCACTCATCCATCTAAGTATTCTCATCTCTACTACAGTCATTTTCTGTTCTATTCTCTTGTCAACTACCCAACACTCTGAACCATTCTTCTTAGCTGATCTCACTACAGTCTTATAGGACTTACTGTACTCATTGAAATTCTCTTATTGCATAATGCATTAAATTTTTATCTCCACTACACCAACCCAAAGTAATTTTTTATTACTGATCCTTTATTTATGTTTACAAATTGTTAAATTTGAGCCAGAAATATCTAAATTATACCAAATAATAGTGTAAATTTGATTTCTTTTTTTAAGATTGATAAGAAAACTGAAATTTTTTGCAGAGATCTCACTATCCTCATAGAATACTAACAAATTTTATTTCATATATGTAATGTAACTTTGAAAAACTTAAGGGTTCAGATTCTATGGATTCTAATTATTAAGGGCTTTTACCATTTTATTTTTCTTCATTCTTAGCATGAAATGTTAAAATATCCAACTAAAAAGAATACAAATCTATTTTGACTTCATGTTAGTAAAATTAACTACCAGTATATTTTATACATACTGTTAAATTTCACAAAACAAGTTTTGAATAATAAAAAATTTTATTATTAATATTATATTATATGATATTGCTATTTTAAAAAATTTTAAATTATTTTGCAAAAATGTCAAATTCTATGCTAGTTATAAAAGTTTAGAGCATTCTATATGGTTTATAAATAATTATTTAATATAGTTATTTAAATTCAAAGTAAGGAATAGTTGTATTATATATATATATATATATATATATATATATCATTTGTGTAGTAATTTTTTCTCTGCTTATTAATTTACTTTTATTAAAAAAATTATTATTGATAAATATTGAACTTCACTTTATATACATATATACCATATTCTTATAAATTCTTATGAACTATACAAAAAAAATAAATTTAAAATTTTTAATTTTCTAGTTCTTGAAATTTAATTTACAATCTTTAAGTAGTAATGTATATTGGACTATATAATATAATACCAAATTTATTACTAAATCAAAAATATATCAATGTGAAAGCTTCTAAATGTGTACTCCTTTTTTATTGCAATTATAATGTATATTAATATTATATTATATTAATTTTTAGACGTAGAGATGGTGTATCTATAAATTCAGCATCTGGATCATTAAAGCAATCAGTGAGTCCGCAAACATCTAATTTCAATCAATCAAAAAAAAGAAAACCATCGACACTTAAAACTTCTAAATCAATATCAATGGTAATTTACATATTATATATACAGAGAGAAACCGATTTAAACTACACTCTAAACTTATTATTATTATTTTTCTATTACATAAAAAAAATTTTATAATTACTTTTTTTATTTTGAGATTTCAAGGTAGTCATTTTATAAATTAATCTTAAAAAAAAAATTTAATTCAGCAGTTAAATTACTACTGCTTTTTGAAATTTGTTAAAATTTTAAATTTGCTATAGTATCAAACACAGGTTTGTAATATTTTAAAAACGATTAAAGTAACTGTTTCTCTTATTTTACAAAACGTAATCTACTGTTTGTTTTTGCTTTGTTCTCATACTTAGTACATTTATTTTAGCAACCAATTCCATCAAGTGATATGTCCTCAGAATTGATATCTACACCAGAAACCTCCAAACCATCAAATGACCAAAAATCTATAACTAATTTTTCTCATCACACATTGCCATCCAAAATATTTAATGACAATTTCTCTGTAAATAGCAAATCTAATGGTGTATATGATATGGATACATCACCTAATCATATTTCTGAAGATATTTTAAATGTTGATAGTATAATAAAATAAAATAATAAACATAAATTATATCTATTAAATTAATTGACAAATGTAAAATACGTAAAAAAATACTTTGATTTGCTTTAGCGTAACTTAATAAATTTGTACATATTTATTACATGGTCAATTTATACAATGTAAATTTAAAATGAAAAAATTTTGTTCAAAATATACTTTAGGATTCACTTAGCATTTGTATATGATTTCTTTGTATTATTTTTTATAACTTTAGCTTAGAATATAACCTTATTTTAATATTATTTATTTGAAAGGCTGAGCTCACTAATGATGTATGACACAAAACAGTAAATGAGTGCAATACAGCTTTTAAGCATTTTTAGAATTCACAAAGAAGCAATATTTGTTGCATAACAGAACTTAAAATTTGCCAGAATTACATTAAAATATTATAACTATTTAAAAACTATGTTCTTAACTCAATTTGTACATTTTGGTTGATAAACCACTATTACATTCAGGTCCCCATTTTTTATTATTACTTAAACTATTTTTTAACTAAATTAATAATTATGAATGTAAATGTGGATACTAAGCATCAGGGCCGGATTTAGGGGAGGGCTGAGTGGGCTGCAACCCAGGGGCCTCCACAAATTTGGTATACATTGGTATCACAAATATGATAATAATAATTATTTAATAAGTAAAAAAATATATTTCCTTGTTTATGTATAAGGGGCCCCCACAATGCATTCCGCCCAGGAGCCACCACATATCTAAGTCCGCCCCTGCTAAGCATTATATACATAATAACTTTTTCTATACAAAAACATTTATTCTTAATTAGTATACAACCCATATATATTGTTTAATTAGGTGTCAATTATTTTAATAACTTTCGAAGAATCATAAACTATATTATACTAATACTCATGTTAAATGTCATCTCTAAAGCTATTGTTTGTTGAATAATGAATGTTAAATATTGATAGTATAACAAAATAAATTAATATGCATTATTTTTATTTATTGTACAAATTTCTATTCAATGTAAAATATGTAAAAAAAAAAAAAAAAACTTTTATTTGCTTTAGCTTAACTTAATAAATTTGTTCATATTTATTACATAATTTATACAGATGTAAAGTCAAATAAAAAAAAATCATCGTTTAAAATATTCTTTAGGCTTCATTTAGCATTTGAATATGTTTTTATGTTAAATAATTATTTTTGACAATTTTGGCTTAAAATAGTACTTTTAATATTATTAATCATATTTATTGAATAACACATTTTATTTATAACATTCACATTAAGCATATTCAAAATAAAATATATTTTTACATAATGCAACATTTAGGACGTCTTCTACGGCGATCCTCAGAGTTTTCCTTAGGATGGTTTCTAATTATACGAACCACCTAAACATCAATTTTACATGGAAAAATTACAATTATAATAAAATAAATTATAATAAGAAAGTTTAACCTCATGAAAAGCACCATCAATATTTTGAGGTGGATCTTTAGCACTTGTTTCCATGTAAGGTAAATTTAATTTGTTGGCCATTTCACGTCCTTCTCTCTCAGATATTTTCCGTAAATGCACCAAATCTACCTTATTAGCAACTAATAGTATAGGATATTGGTCTCTAAAATTTTATAACAAATGTTAAATTAATAAAAGACAAATTTTAAATCAAAAAATTGAAACTAATAAATACTAACTTAACTTAATATAACAAATAATAATTACTAATTTCACTTATAATGTAACTTTGTTTATAACAAGCAATACAAGCATCAAATAAATTCACTTTTATAGTTTTTATTTAATAGACTTTTTAAGTTAAGGATTTATTAATAGATACCTTTTAAATTTAATTTAAAAAATTATTTTCCTTGCATTTTAAATAATATAAATCTACCTAAAATCTCATGCTAAAGATATAACAGACAATTGGTTCACAGAATAAAAAAAAACAATATTTACATTTTTTTTCACAATATAATTAATTTAAAAATAGAAATATAATAATTAATTAAATATCTCATTTAAAATTAAAAAATATTTGAAATATTAATTTAAAACTAAAAATAAAAAAAATATTTATCTCAAAAAGCCACAAAAAATACTTCAAAGAAACACAAATACGTATATCAAAATGTTACCATTATCAACCTTAAACAAATAGTATATGATTTATTAGTATTTTTGAGTTTAATACATTTAGATTTTAAATATATTTTAGATTAATGGAATTGTTCTTATTTAAAAGACTACCCAACTAAAATCAACCACATTGTATATATAAATTTAAAATATAAATAGTTACTAGCTATATAAAAATAATAACACGTATTTCACTAAAAAAATATGTATAAGATTAATAGGTTACACACCTATCTTTTACCCTAAGTATTTGAGTAAAAAAATTAGGAACGTTTTTGAAACTGTTTGGATCAGTTACTGAGTAAACAATCATAAAGCCATCTCCTTTTCTCATGTATTGTTCACGCATTGCACTGAATTCTTCTTGGCCAGCAGTATCTAAAACTGAAAAAATAAAAATCTTTTAAAATAATTTAAAACTTTTACATTGAAATTTAAAAAAAATAATATGTGGTTTAGTTACATTCATAAATGTTAATATTTTGTCAATGGTTATAGTGAAATACTTCCAATTAATTTTATTAAATCAGAAAAATTTTTTTTTTTTTTTTTAATAAGTTTAAAAGGGTTTTTTTTATATTGGTTAAGTATAAGGAATGATGAACAAAGTTTTGAGATACTAAAAGAAAATGTATTTTAATATTAAATAAATAATATTTAATATATACTACCAAAAAATTATCAAAACTCAAAGAAAAAAATTAGACTTATGACAACAAGAAGACTACAATATCAATACAGATAAATATAACTGCTTTTCATCATCACAATCTATTGAGTTCTCAAGAGTTTAGGTCAACTAAACTACTGTTACAGCATCCTTAATATTGATAACAAAATTATATTTATTATTATTTGAAAATAAAATGAATGCTAAATCCAGAATATTTTTATACTTAAGAATAAAATACTATTACTAATTACAAATGAATTGTAGAGCAAAATAATGCTTTAATAAAATTGTTATTATTACCATCTAGAATACAAAATTCTTCATCAACACAAGCATGCTGTATATAACTATCTTCAATAGTTGGATCATAATCAGCAACAAACATTTTTTGAAAAAATTGAATAGTAATAGCGCTCTTACCCACACCACCGTCACCAACCACTACCAGCTTGTAAGTAGGTAATGGATGGTTGGGGGCTTGGGTTATAGCGCGACGATGGCGCGTCAACTCTTGTTGGGTCGTATATGCAAACCGTGATGACAGCTTGTTTGCTAAAACAGTGTAAATTAAACATAACATTAGTATTACAATATTGTCAGTTAAAAGTAAAAAAAATATCACCAGTTAGTTTGTCTCGGTTTTATCACTACATGATGAATAATTCATACATTATATAAAATTTTTTAGAGAAGAAAAATTCTCATTCGAAAAAATTAGACACTTTTCAGAAAGGTAGAAATCAAAATTATGATGTGCGGTTTGTAAAAACTATTGTAAATATTGAACTACTTGTCAGTAATTTACCATTTATTAGATAATTTAGATAAAAATAATCTTAAACAAAACACAACACTTGCTTTTATCACTCAGTAGATTTAATTCTGATTAATGATAAGAATTTAAACTAGATACGCATGCGTTCAAGTACTGAGAATTATGTAATTTGAAAATTTGAATCTTTGAAATTTTTATTTATATGATTATTAAGTAAATCATTAAATATGACCAATAAAGGATACTTTTTACATGAAGGGCCAGCTTATTCATTAGCGTTGAATAAAGAAAATACACATGTTGTTGTTGCGGGTAGAAATGGTAAATTACTTTTAAAATATATTGTTTATTTTTTAGCAGTCTTCTAATTTATTTAATATAAATTGTAGTATTCAAGGTATTCCTCATTGAACAAGGTACCTTTAAAGAATCTGTTAATTTGCGTTGTGGAAAAACATCTAGTGTACAAAGTTCATCAAGTATGGATGTTGCCTGGAACCCAGTTGATGGTAAATAACTGTAAAATTTTATAAAAAAATATGTTCTTAAATTCTCTATCCTACATATACAAAATGAAGCAGATCTATCTGATAACTCTTATAACTTTTCATGTAATGAAAATGTTACTGTAAATTAATTCTAAGACTACATCAAAAGCAAATTTTTCATGATTTATTTTTAATAAGAATAAAAAATAATGATTTTTTAAAAAATTTTATTATTAAAATTAAATATAAATTATGTGTTTAAAATAGTCCAAGCCTGCCAAAATTGTTTGAAAAAATATTACAAAAAAATTATTATTCTGTATTAACCTGTATATTTAGTATATTACATCATAAATTTGTAATAACTAATATGGGAATGCTAGGGGTACTCAGTATATCCATATAATGAATTGTTACTACCAGTTTTTTTTACAGTTTTAAAGATTTTTTAAAGTGAAAGCAAAAAAAAAAAATAGCTATGAATAAAATTTTACACATTCTAGTTTACAATTATAATATTTTAGCCCTCTCTAGATTTCAACTAAATGTGTATTTATTGTATAAATGTTTAAGTAAAGTTTAGTTATTAACTTTAATTTGATATTTTTAGATAACATTTTAGCTACAGCTACCACGGGTGGTGCTGTTGTAACTTGGAACTTAAATCGTTCATCTAGAAATAAACAAGAGCATGTATTCTATGACCACAGAAGAACTGTAAATAAAGTGACTTTTCATTGTGTTGAACCAAATTTACTAATGTCTGGTTCTCAAGATGGTACTATGAAATGTTTTGATTTAAGATTAAAAGAGCCCCCTAAAACATATTCAAGGTTTGTATTTCATATTTTAAATATTATTTTAATATTTAAAACATTTATATTTTTGATTTTTATTATTATAATAATATTATTTATTAAATAACTATCCTATAGTGATTCTGAAAGCATAAGAGATGTACAATTTAGTCCTCATAACTGTAACACATTTGCTGCAGCTTCTGAAAATGGTACCATTCAAATATGGGATCTAAGAAAATCTGACAAGTGTTTAAACAAATTTTCTGCCCACAATGGCCCTGTGTTTTCTTGTGATTGGCATTCAGAACTTCCATTTTTAGCAACTGCGAGTCGAGATAAGAGTATAAAAGTAAATAATTATTTTTGTTAATTTTATATCAATTTAGAATTTCATAAAAAATTTTATATTAGGTTTGGAATGTTACAAACAAACCAATAGCAGAGTATACTATTAGTACAATAGCACCAGTTGGTAAAATAAAATGGCGACCATATCGTAAATATCATTTAGCTTCTAGTGCTCTAGTTTTAGATTCTGCTATAAATGTTTGGGATGTGCGTCGACCATATATTCCATATGCTTCATTTACTAAACACACTGATGTAGCAACATGTATAGCTTGGAAAGGAGACCCCTATGTACTTTTATCTACAAATAGGGTACTAAAAATGATGATACAATATTATATTCATCATAAATATTGATAATTCTAATTAATTAAATAGGATAGTACATTACATCAAAACTTTATAAGTGATGCAGACTTACCTTTAGAAAATTCAAATCCTCAAGGAATGGCCATAAATAATAGTGGTGATCTTGCATACTGTTGCCCAACAGTGTTAAACAAATCTGAAATTCATAAGGCTGATAAAAATAAAGAAACATCCAGGTAATTATATAAAGATAAAACTTTTATTAAAAATAATGTCTTATGTCTTCTAATCTCATCTAATGTCTTAGAAAAACTTCTACCACTACTAGCGGTGAAGAAGAATTGAATACTTCAAGCCAGATGAATGTTTTTCGTGATCCTAAAGTTTCTATGTGTTTATCCGATGAAACTGATTGTTTTCGAACATGTGCTACTCAGTATAAACTGAATGGAAAACCATTGGGAGAACTTTGTGAATACAATGCCAATATTGCAGCGAGTGTTGGAAGACCTACTGTAAACAGACACTCATTTATAACTCATCAAAATTCAAAATATTTTTATTTTATTTATATTTCTTTATTTTAGATTCATTTAATGTGGAATATACTAAGAATACTATATGATTATGTTTCAAACAATTCACCAAAAGATGACACTCAAAGTAATTCTAACATTGAAAGTAGCTATGAAGAAGATGAAGAAGATATACCTCCTTCTACTAGTGAAGACGAGTGTCAAAAACCTGAAAAAAGAAAACCATTGGGGGATTTTTTTTTTGGTGACATGGAAATGGATCCTTTAGGAGCAGAACTAGATCAGTTTGAGACTATTGGCTTGAGAATGGATAGTAAAATTTTAGATGAAGATAGCAATTGGATAGTACCAACTGAATCTATAACTCTTAGGCCAGAAATTTCATATCAACCAATAGTTGATCATAATTACATATCAGAACTTTCTCCAGTTATTAATACATCAGGTACTACTGTTTTGTAAATGCAACTGTAATACTAAATGAAAGAAAGGTCCAAATTAAATTATTTTTATAATTTATGTTCAACCATAAACCCAACGTCAAATTTAATTTTAATCTAGTGTATACATGAAAAAAATAAATACAAAAATAATTATATAATACTTTCTGAATTTTATATTTCATTTTTTATATGAAATAAAAATGTTTTCTTTTTATATAACATATTTTTTCAAAATCATATTTATATATTTGAATCAATAAAAGTATACATGTATTTTTTGTTATAAATATTAGATAAAAAAAAAGAAAAAAGTAATTTAACATATGTACTGAACTTTCAAAAGTTATTTTGATGTCCTTAATAGAATGCCCTCTAACATATTTAACTATTTTGGGTTTATATTAAATTTTTTTTTTTATTTTTTGTGAATTCTTTTATTTCTCAACTGATAATAATATTTGAAAAATATCACACTAATTTTTAGCCAAGCTAAAACATTTATCCTTGTAAATATGTTGAGTAATTTCAAATATTTATAAAATTTTCATACCATAATCATTAAAATTAAGAATTTCGGAAAATCTCTTAGTAATAACATATATATTTTCAAAGTCTTTTGTTCATAATTATTTGAACAAAAATTAAAATTAACAATCTAAGGTGTATTATTTTTATTAATATTATTAAGAATAATATTCTTACTAATCCTATCTTATAAGCTATTACTTGTGTTAGAAAAGACAAAAAAATCTATACAACTGGACAAAACAAAATCCAAATCCTATGCCTGATACACTTATAGCTAAACTATACAAGCAAAAGTATATTTTCTGATTAATTAATGTATATTTAAGCTATCACTAGAATTGTAATAAAAAAATTGGATAAAAGTTTAAAAATATACTTTAAAAACTTTTGAATAAATAAATTTTTACTCCAAATAATAAAATGATGACTTCTTCTTAGTTTTAAGTCATTTGATTATGAACCCTACAAATTTTTAAATCTTTATAAATACAAAATCGTATCTATAAAATTCCTGATAAAACTTTTAACTTCCTGCTATCTACCAGTAAAAATTCATTATATCATAAAATGAAATAAAATATAGTACAGTAAAAAATGATTAAAATAAAATTAATTTACAATTTTTTAGCAACCAGTCGTAAGATCACAGTACCAGAGTTACGAATAACATCTCCTGTAAAGTTTGATTCATGGGATCCAACTGAGACAGTTGCAAAGGCTCTACGATTTCATGTTGATCAGGGTGATATACAAACAGCTGTTTGTGCTTTAATTGTTTTAAATGATGATGTCAGAAGTGAATTAACAAACCCTAAGATTCCAAATCATCTTCAACAAACAGAAATGGAACAATGGATGTTAGCCTATATTGATCTTTTAAGTAGATTCAAACTTTGGTCTAATGCTACTACAGTAAGGTTAAATGCTAAATAAATGTTAGCAAATATTTAAATATTAAATTTTAATTTTTATAGATCATTCAGTTGTCGCGAATCAATAGTATTCTTCAATTAAATCGTATTTCTACATCTGTATATTTAAGTTGTGGATGGTGTTATAAAGGATTAACTCGGAGTAGTCGCCATTGTTACAACTGTCGTCACTCTGAGTGTGCAAGGTGTGCCTTATGTCAAAGGGTTGTTCGTGGAATGTATGCTTGGTGTCAAGGATGTGCTCATGGTGGTCACATTAGTCACATGAAACAGTGGTTTTTGGAAAATAAATATTGCCCAACTGGATGTGGTCATATGTGTGAATATTAAAACTTAATGTATGACTATCATTCACTATACTTAACTATTTTAGTGATATTTAGGTAAATATATATATATATATATATA